AGCCCAGGAGTTGGAGGTTGCTGTGAGCTGTAATGCCACGGTACTCTACCCAGGGGAACAGCTTGAGGCTCTGTCTCAAAAAAAAAAAGAATAGAAGCCTGATGGATCTAGCCTGGCAGCATGCCTGGCTTCTAAGATAGAGCCCTAGTGCAGAAATGGCCCTGGCTGGGATGTCTGGTGTTCCAGAATTTGTTCAGACCAAGGTAGAAGGTAGAGTATGGAAAGAAGAAAACTAGTCCTGAGCTCCAGTGGACCCACAAATCTGTGGCTCAGTGGCAATAAAATTGGGGAATGTTTATGCTCTGTCAGTTTGGAAACCCCCACCACCATCTCAGGAAAAGGCTTTGGGGGTGTGTGAGTGTGGATAGAAAAAGGAAATGATCAGCCAGGACAATTTTCAGACATACTCCTTTCTGACCCCCTCTTGGGCCCAATGATCTAATGGTCTCAGCAGCCCTAGAAGTGAAAATCAGCTCCTAGGCCCCCTCAGGGTAGAGCACCTGGTGGGACATAGCTGCTCAGGGCATGTGTGTGGCAGCAGGGGTGACAGCAGAACTGGGAGACAGGCTGTGATGGTGGCTGGCTCATTAGGAATGCAAGGAGCCTCCAGTCCATGGACATTTCAGGGGGCAGGGAGACTGGAAGGGGAGGTCTCAGGGACACTGTGGAGAGAAGGTTCCCGGTACATGGCCACTGTAAAGGGGAGAGAAAGAGGGGCAGGGAAAGAGAGTTAGCACAAAGAGACCCAGGCAGAACCAGTGCTCTGAAGTGGCTCTATTCCCCTATACTCACCCTCTAGGAACCCCAACCCAATGGAGGACTGCTCCCCAAGCTCCCAAAGGCAAAAGCCTTTCTGGCTTGACCTGTAATAACAGTGTCCTCTTAATACTTGTAGCCTGAGCTATGTATCCCTAAATGTCTATGTAAAGGTCAATATCCACCCACATGGCCCATCATTTTTTTAGTCTATACCCACCCTCCAGGAGCTTGGGCACAAAGTGGGCAGCTGCCTTTGTCTTCTTGACTCGGTTTCCCTTCATGACCCGGCCCTCCTTGTCCAGGCCTAGGTACCAGGCCCGGCCAGAACGGCACTGGCGGTAGAGAGCAGAGGCATACAGGACATAGTAATTCTCAAAGACGCATTCCTTAAAGCGACACTCAGCTGTGAAATGTGGCTAAAGAGACAAAGACCCAGAAAGGCACACACAGACAAAGAGACAAAAAGACACATCACTGGGCAGAAGAGAGCCCTTAGAAAGTATAAGCCAGGAAATGTCCATACATTTTTAGAGAGAGGGAGAGGGCAACTTCTAAGTCTATACAGTAACAGGGAGCAAAAGGAGGACAAGCGTCTGGTGGGCCCCTGAGGATTAAGAATTAGAATTTGGGAGTCTTAGAATAAGAAGATTCCTTCTCTCCATTCTATTCCCAACTTCTCACCATCTCCTATCTGGAACAACTCTAAAGAAGTGAGTAATAACAAAGTCTAGAGGAGGTGGGATGAGAAGCAGGAGCCCTAAAAGGCAGTAAGAGTTGGGATACTCAGAGAGTCTGGGGGTATGTGGTGGACTATGTGAGGAGTCAGGTTTGGAGAGATCCTGGATAAAGTGCTTTGGTGTAGGTAGTGATGCCAGGCCATCAGCAAAAGCTGGAGGGAGAAAAGAGGGAGTTCTGGGCTGCAAAAACGTCTGTAGTTGAGGAAGGGACAAACTTCCTTAAGGAACAAGTGGAGGAAAAGGAGTCCCCAATACCCCAGGTCACTCAGCCTCATCGTCTCACCGAGCTGTAGAGCAGCCCCTCAGCATTCATGGCCATGTAGTGACCCAGCTTGGCACTCTGTATAGTGACGACACGGAGCCCCACAGGGATCAAGTTGAAGTGGGCTGGAGGTGGAGAGAGGGGACATCAGTACTCAAGTGACTAATGTGCATCTGAGCTCCCCCCATCCCAATTCCACTTTTTCTCTTGGAGATCAGGAAGACAGAATGACAACAGAACCTGAAGAGGAACAGGATTATCAGCTCCTGTCCCCAGTTTTCCCCTTTCCACCCAACAGCTGGATTCCCCTCTCACTGAAGGAGCTGGTGTCCTCAGGGGTGCCCTGGATGCTCCCATCTGGATTTGCCTGGAGGTAGAAACCCTGGCGGCAGAACAGCTTGGTGACGATGCCTTTTAGCTGAGGCTCTGGAGAGAGAAAAATTCATCTCTGAAAAATGACATCTCTGTTCCCAGAAACATTCCTACACTGGGAGGGATCGGAGGAAAGAAAGAAGGAAAATGAACAGAAGGAAGAGGGTCCTAGAGTCCCAGCTCTCTTACCCTCCAGCAAACTCTCTCCCACCTCTCTGACTCTTGGGGAAGCTGGGGTGTGGGTCCCCTTAGTTTCCTCTAACCACCAGCTTTTAGTTAAATTTATTGAAATTTATTTAAATGACTTAATTCCTACCCTACAGTTCAAGGGGGGGGAGACGGAGGAAGAAGTAAAGAGATAACATCAGAAGGCAGCAGACAGAGGGAGATAGGGCTACTGAAGCAGCAGTGTGTTTGCCAACATGTGTAGGGTGGTGGTGGCAAGTGGACCACAGGGTAGGGGCTCTCCCTCATGAGTGGGGGTGGGATAGGGCTTGACGCTGACTCAGCACCTGCTGCTACTGCGGCTGCCGCTTGCTAGGCGCGGGCCTTGCTTTGGCCCAGTGCCGGCCAGTCTGACACTGACCCATCTGTCTGTCTGTCAGCCTGCTGGCTCGCGGTGGGGGGGCCCCATCCTCCCTGAGGCTCAGTCTCTCCCCTTCAGCCAGGTAACCCGCCTGGGGTGGGGCGATATTTGGTACCTTTTGAAGGAAATGGGGGAACTGGGCTGAGGAGGTGGAGAAGCAGGCTGAGTCACGTGGGGACCCGGTCCCACTCAGAGGGTGGGCTGTAGACTGTACCACTGCAGATGGGGAGGGGCAAAGGGCGCTAGGGGGTACTCCTAGAAAAGCTGGGAGTCAGTGGGAGCAGGGTCAGAGGGACTGCCTTAATATAACACCTGGACAGAGACCACACGTTAACCCTCACAACTCCCCTCCCCCCACTGCTTGCTCTCTGCCTACTTCCCTGTCCCCCCTCATAGGTGGTACGACCTCCAAGTCTCCGCGCCCATCTCTAGCGGTGAACTGTGTCTGAGTTCCTCTCCGCTTAGGGTCCTTTGATCCCGTGGGTCCCAAATTTGGAGTCGCGCAGGGGTAATGGGAGTGAGTGCCCAGTTCCCTTCTTGAAGCACAGTTCATGGGAGGAGGGCGCATAGAGGGCTGACTGGCGAGGTAGCTGCAAGGACACCCGAGGGAGAGATGGGGAGATTGGCTCTAAGCCAGGAGTGCTGGACTGGGAGGAACCGAGCCAAGTCGTGGAGAATAGGGTTGGGGGCGGGGCGGCTGGAACGTCAGAAGCCCTCGGGGTGACCCAGGCGTCCGGAGCCCCCAGGCCCATCCGCTCCAGATTGAAAGAATCGCGAGAGCCGGCACGTAGGCAAGGACGGTGGGGGTGGGGATTCCTGAGTTGAGGGGGCGGGCGGGAACTGCGAAGCCTCAGGGCGCCAGACTTAGCCCCTCAAGCCTTCCCCTTGCCCTCGAAAGCAAGGAGACTCTGGGTTATGGACAAAAGAGATAAAGGGAACTGAGGCACAGTCTGGCAAGGACTTTGTGGTCCTGGCTCACCCCTTCCACTTTCCGGGAGTCCCTCAGCCAGGCCCTGTGCTTTAGAGTCCCATCCCTAGCCTCAACCTCCCAGGCAGAGAGACCACTTTTCTGGAGATCCCGCCCCAGCTGCACTCACCCGGGCCGCGGTCCGGCCGCGTGGGCCGCCCCCCGCACAGTCGCACCTTGGACAGCAGGATGAGGAGCTGCTTCTGGCAAAGGGACTTGGTGCCGCGGGGACACACGCGCCGCTGCGCCGACACTGGCCGGCTGCCCCCGGGCTCGCGGACCTCCCGCTTCTGCCGGATCAGGCTACTGGCCAGCGCCGCCATGGTGCCCCGGGAGGAAACACCCTCAAACCGGCAGGCGCCCGGAACGCGCTGGGCTCCCCCAGAAGAGCCCGTTCACCAGGGCATGCTCTTGACGCTCAGGCCTGGACTCACTGCCCCACCCACAGGACCTGGGGATAAGCCCGACTCCCCCCACCCAATCCCCCAGCAGCCAGCTCTCACCCTTGGGACCCGTGCTAGCTCCACTGGATCCTGCAGCCTATGCCCTCTTTAGTTGAACCCACCTTCGAATTTTGCCCCCTATGAAAACTCCCCCCTTCCCTCCTCTCCAGTGTCTTTGTCCCAAAGCCAAGACCCTCCAAATTTCCAAGATAGGGTTCCAATATCTCCAGGCACTTTCCTTCTCTATTTTGGGGCACACTCCTGCCAAATCCACTCTTGTAATCTAAAGGGTGTGTCGGGGATAATAGGTTACCCCACTCCTACTGGGGCACTGCCAGTATCAGAGAGAAACCCAGCATAGGTGTTTTCTCCTCTGCTGCTCTCTAAATAGAGATGATCCCCTACTTTAGGAGAATCCCCTACCCAGAGGTTCTCCACTGAACCTCTCCATGATATGTCTTGGAATATCTAGGTTGTCCAGGTTCAATGAGAAGGAATTCCCAGCTCCTTTGGCTGGACAACTTTTTCACCAACTCATCCCCGTTCCTAGCAGGAGAAGGTTCCAGTTACTGAGACCTTTTCCTCACCTGGCCACCCTCCACATCTTTTAAAGTCACCTCCAAATCTGCCCCTCCTAGTGGATACACCAGGTAGTTGTCTGGAGGGCACTCTATCACCTCGAAATAAGGAGCATTTTTTTTTTAGATGCCCCTTAAATTTCCTCGGGGAAATAACTGGTGCTGTATGATATCACGTCCTTCAGTCTAACCAGCCCCCCAAGAAAGGAATGCACCCACATCACCAGTCCCCAAATGTGAGCAGGCTCCCCTATAAGCCAGAGCGCATCAGAGATTCCTGCAACAGGGCTTCCTCCACCTCCCCGGAACTGCCTACAGCACCCCTTCTTTTCCCCGACGCCCCTCAACCTGTCCTGTCCTGTTGATCCGGTGACGGGTGGCGCTGGTTCTGGCTCCAGGTTCCTCCCTCCCTGTCTCCCGAAAACAGAGCTTTCCCCCAACGCCCGGCTAGGCGTCCCGGACTCTCCGGAAGGAGTGTCTGCAGAGCGCCGCCCGGGTCCGGCGAAGTCAGAGCACTGGGCCTGGAGGTTGGAGGTTGGATCAGGCAGAGCGGCGGCAGTAGCGGCAGCGGGAAGCTGAGGCGGTGGCGGCTACAGCAGTTCCCCTTCCTCCGAGAGCCGGCCCGGGGGCGGGGCAGGGGGCGGAGACGCTGGGAAAGAGGAGGGTGAAGCTGGGCGTGAGGCACCCTGGGGTTCCTTGGAAGCAGGGAATCGGGACTGTGTCTTAGAAGCAGGTGGCGCTGAGGCAAGGCCGCACGTCTAGAGGTTCAGAGAATGGACACAGAGGCCTCCTAAACGAAACCCTGGATGCAGAGGAAAGGTTGGGGTTAAGATACATGGAATGGTGGACACCTGGAGAATAGAGAGAGGGGGACCCTACTGCCTGGGATGGAAGTGAGGACAGAACTGGGTGAGGAAAGTGGAGGGAAGCACTGAAGAGATGGGGGGAGGGGTGGTGGTGAGATCCAGCCTGGGGAATCCAACCTTCTAAATATGTCTACTTCTCTCTCTCTCTTTTTTTTTTTGACAGAGTCTCAAGCTGTCACCCTGGGTAGAGTGCCGTAGCATCACAGCTCACAGCAACCTCCAACTCCTGGGCTTAAGCGATTCTCTTGCCTCAGCCTCCCAAGTAACTGGGACTACAGGTGTCTGCCACAATGCCAGGCTATTTTTTGGTTGTAGTTGTCATTGTTGTTTGGCAGGCCCAGGCTGGATTCGAACCCACCAGCTCTTGTGTATGTGGCTGGCGCCTTAGCCACTTGAGCTATAAGGCGCCGAGCTGGTATCTCTGCTTTTGTATGAGCTAAATTGATAAGCCCCTGGTCTTCATACCTGTCCAAATTTTATCTGCAAATATAATCCATCTCTATTGACTCCTAATAGAAAAAAAACAATAGAAATGGGGAGAGATGGTTACTGGACGCCACCCCCGATGGGGAGGAGTGCAGGCCACAGTTATGGGGGAGACCTGTGCCGGGGGCGCGGCGGGATAACGGGAAGGAACCTAGAGTTCTTCTAGAAAGGGAATTTGGGGCCCAGGGCACACAGGCTGCCCTCCAGGCGAAGGTCAGTCCCCTCAACGTTCAGCTCGCCGCCAACGCAAGCACTTTACACGCTGTTAGGAGCAGGATCTTTAATGGGCCTCACTGCCCACGCCCGCTAAGCCTCCCCCCTTGCGCGCAACCTTGGCCTCCTCTACAGCGGTACGCAGAGCCCGGGCAGGGTCCCCGCGGAGCCGGGCCAACTCCCCGAGCAGCATAGCGGAACCGTCCCCCGCACGGAGTTTTCGGCCACTCAGAAAATAGTGAGGCATTGTCCCGGCCTCGAGCACACGGCCCAGCTCGTCTAGCAGCCCGAGGCAGCAGGCTCCCGCATTTTCTGATCGCGCTAGGTAGAGCGCGGGCAGTCGCTCACACGCCCAGTACAACAATGTCCGCAGAAGGTAGGGCGCCGCGGCCCGGGTTCCAGCCACCAGTGGGCGCAATAGCGCCTGAGCCGCAGCGTGAGCCTGCAAAAGGGGCGCGGGTATGCGCGCCTTGAGCGCCAGCTCCTGGCGAGCGAAGCACAGCTGCCAGCGCGAGGTGTCTGGCCGCTCAGTGCTGCCACCCGGCACTAGGTAGAAGGAAGCTGATTCTGGGGCCAGCGGACCGGCCCATGAGTGGCTACGAGCCCCTTCGGGCCAGCCAGCCACGGACACCACTGGGATTAGATCGAAGAGCAGGACGTGGCGCGGAGGCCCTGGTGTAGCCAGGAGGAGGGTGGTGAAACCCGCGTGGCGAGCTGCATGTACCAAGCGCGGAGCGCCAGGGACAGGGATCAACGACTCTGCAACTGCAGCCAGTGTAGCAAAGAACCAGGAAGCCACTTGGGCGGGGCACAAAGTGGGCCACGCCTCCCAAGCTTCCGTGGAGTTTGGGACCTGGCTTCCGACGGCAGCCTTGGTGACGTCACTACTTAGTTTTTTCAGCGGGTCCGGAGAACCAAGGTCGGTGACGTCATGTTGAGGCGACTCGGACTCTGAAACGCCAGGAAGTGATTTTTCCAAAGATACTAGCGACTCATGCCCAGTGACGCAGCCATGCGGCTGGTCCGCGGAGATTTGCCAGTCTTTGGTACTTTCTTCGCTCTCGATTCGGTGGATCAAATTATGTCCTCCTGAGACTGGAGGTCCTAGGCAATCCTGCCACGTTTCTCGGACGGAGGTTCCACACACCAGGTCTGGGAGGCGGAGCCATGCGTAACAAGATTCCAAGTCCAGTTGCAGCTCTTGATCAGTGCGGTCCAGCGAAAACATGGGCACTAGGAGTGTGAAGCCAGCATCGTAATGAGGTCCCCGGGCGTAAGGACCCAGGGGTGCGTGTCCCAGATCCAGGGAGCCCTCGCGAATCCCACCACGAAGAAGCAAGAGCTCTGCCTGGGGAGGAAAACGGGGGTCCCGGCGGTGAACTAGACCTAAAGGAAAAGAAGAGTTCGTGAGGGCGTCGCCCAAAACCGGGGCAGGGGCGTGGTAAGGCTGAGATCAGTGAGTTCCCAAAGAAGGTCTATTTACCAAGCAAAGAGAAGACAAAGTCCTTGGCCCGAAGTAGGTCTGCCACCGGCTTGGGTCCATCACTCCAGCTCTCCTGCACACCGAGCTCCTGAATCAGCTGGGTCAGTTCCTGAAGCTGAGCCCCAGAGCAAAAGTCGATGTCCGTGAGCGGCCGGGCTGGGGCCGGGGGTGGCGGGCCCCACCAGGGGGCACTCCCCCAGACCGCGGAAGCCATGCAGCTCTATCGTTTGGGGCTAGGGAAAACACGGAAGTAAGGTAGCCTAAATGGGCCTTTCGTTTGCAGCCAAAAAGTAGCTCCCGCTACTCCTTTACAAGGCTGAGCGAATGAATGCCTCTGACACAATCCTCAAGTAGGTCCGCAGATGATGGGTTCTAAATTTAGTCTTCAAAATGAACAAATAAATTAATACCTCCTCTAACCTTGCCTTTTTCTAATATGCAGGTTCCCTGCCCCCGGGAACCGGCTCACCTGACTGAGCAGGTAATGAGTAGCTGTTGGGCCCCTCCTTAAGAAATACACTAGCCAGTCCTTGCCACCGCCCCTTGTTTGTCTCCTCTTACCTCTTTCGGAAGAGGATTAACAGTCTGCAGCTCCCGGGTAGAGGTAGCTGCAAGAGTGAGGAACAGAAAGAATAGGACCTTTCAACAGGTAACTTTTTCCTGATGCTCACATGGCCACGCCCCTAAATTTTGGACGTTGCCCCTTTCTGGAAGCTGTAGGGGTGGTTCCGTCCGGATCCCTCCAGTCAGAATTCAGTCACTCCTTTCGTCCTGCTGAGATCTCGCGTTATCCTGGGAATTGTAGTTTGTTTCCCGCGCTACTAGGGAGTTGGAGCCACGCCCCCACATACTTTCCCGGTCTGCTGAAGTAGTGCCTGATGGAAGTTGTAGTTTCTCTGGAGATAAACTATTCTGTCTTTTCAAATCCAGCTCAACCTCATACATACGTTTTTGGGACTTGGAGTGGAAGCGTAACAGCATGGATCTGTATAGCAAACAATAATGAGGGACACACCCTAGGACCTGGGGAGAGATGAGGCCTCAGCATCCCATGTGTGTACAGGAGCCCTGGTCACTTAGATTTAGCAAGGTTCCTCCATGCAATTTCAATTTCATTTTTATTTAATTTTTTTTTTGAGACAGAGTCTCACTTGTTGCCCCTGGTAGAGTGCTGTGGCATCACAGCTCACAGCAACCTCAAATTCTTGGGCTCAGGGGCGGCATCTGTAGCTCAAAAGAGTAGGGTGCCAGCCCTATATGCCTGAGGTGGCGGGTTCAAACTCAGCCCCAGCCAAAAATTGTAAAAAAAAAAAAAAAAAA